TTCCCTACATAGAGGAATATTTTACGGTGTTCAAGAAGAACTGGCTGCTGCAAGTAGAGGAGAACTAAATTAAAATCTCTTTCACTACTGAGCAAGGAAAGAAAAGTGTAATTCATGAGAGCTGATAAACAAAACAGCAAATCACACACCAAAACAAATGATTTAAGGAAGCCTTCAAAATCCTAATGAAATAAGTACAGATTAAAAACATGTTCTTTAGATTGCAAAGACTACTAACAAGTCTGTCTTAAGTACCTCCTACTTTCTATCCGAATTTCTAGAAATTGGGAAGGAAATATTATCCTAAAAATAAATACAGTTCTGTGACTTCTTAAAATGAACATTGTAAGCTAAAACTGCCATTAAGAGCAAAAAGAACTGTAAAAGTGAGTCAGTAAATTTTTTTTTTTTTAAAGAGTTTTCTAGAGCATCCATACGAAGTGATCTTAAGCGACTATTTTCCACCACAATCTGTTTTTGTCAACACAACTTCTTTGAACCTACCTCTTTCAGGGCTTTTAATAATCGAGGTCGTTTTTCTTCAACACTTTCCCGGGACTGCTGTTTAAGCTTCCTTAGGAGTGCTGTAACTAAACAGACATTAACTGTAAGATAAGAATATTCTATTCGCTTGTTAACTTTGGGATAGTGTCATTATTTTACAAATCTTTACACAACTTGAAAAGCCTGAGCAAATGTAACATTCCGGTCTTTAGAGAAATTCACTTCAAGTTACAATAATTACACATAAACTACTAGGATCACAGCAGGAAGAAAAGTTTCAGTAACTGTTTATAATATATACATGTCAAGATGTCTTTTTACATGCAAATTAGCAAACATTTACATACACACATGTTTTACTGAACATGGGCCTAGGGACTGGTTAACATTTACTCCTACTGAGACAATTCTTCAGCAGCGAGGAGCTCACTTGTAGAGCATTGTTAGTACATTACAAACTAGTATGTTAGTGTATTATAACCCCGGATGGCAAGTTTTCTGCTACAGAACATGGTAAAAACCAAATACTATTACTGTCCACTAATAAGCAGCAGTAGAAGAATTTTTCCCTTTACTACTTCGTATCTGAAGTGATAAGTAATTCACTTGAATCATTATATTTATCTGCTGGCCTGCTGAGATGAAACATCCCATTGCCAATTGTTACATCAAATGACATACATATGACTACTATACACGGAGCCGCTCCAATTAGATGATTCCATACAGCTAAAATGCATTTCCACCTTGTAACTCTACAAAACAGAATAATCCTTTATAGCTTTTACAGTAATTTATAAGCATAATCTTAACTCTATTTAACATTATTTATCTTGATGCAATTTCTTTCCTACAAAAATTAGGAAATTGACATGAGTAGAGCTTGTCATATCATATCTAGATATAAAAAAAAAGGTTCTGCTGGTCAAAATAAACTCTTCAAATAACTAAAATTGCAGTATTATAAAAAAACTAATTTGAAAGACCTCGTTTTTCTAATCTGCATGAGACATCCCTTTTGATTGAGAAACAGAGGTTCTTACTCATTTGTCTGTCTCCATAGCTGATGGCTTCTGCAAGAGGGCTCCATCCCTGAGCATTTTTCACCTTTACTGGAGCATTATGGGCTAAAAGCAAGTGGGCACATTCTGTAACAAAGCAGTAATATTTAGTTACAGTAAACATGATTTTTTTATAGTGATATCATTCATAATAAAGGAAATGATAATGAAGAAAAAGCAGTGGATATTCAATTTATTAAATAGATCATTAAAACACATCTGGATTCTGAATCCCAGACCTCACACACAAAAAAAAAAACATTTATAAAGTATCTGTAGCACTTTCCTGTTCAATATTAGCATTAAAAACATACCTCAGTGATCAACTATCACTTACATAAATACAGAAGTACCACCCTCTGGTTTCTATATTTTGCTTTTTATAAAGGTATATTTGTCTGCATCTGGGTATGTACACACACACACACACACATACACAATCACATTTTAAAGTTACAGCAGTTCTCTCAACTTCACGCACAAAGCCCTGAATCAGGACACACTTAATGATCTTCCAGATGTGAAAGTTGTGCACAGTCTTCTCCCTTTCCCCTGTAAATGTCAACGGTGAACCAGTTTGCTAGAAACCTACATAGAGGCATAGATTTTAGATAAGTTTTGAGAATACTGTGTAATGGGGGGGAGGAGGGGAAGCTGTCACAGTAACTCAAACTCAAGTACATCCCTACCTGCTATAACATCTCATGGCAACATCATATGTCTGAAGTAGGGCAAAAAAATCAAGCATACTCCAACCTAAGAGTATCTCAGAGAATGAGCATAATATGCTGCATAACATGTTACACTTACTCTAGCTAGGACTAACAACATGGATACGTGGAGCAGTGATAACACAGTGTACCACTTGTGGGCTTGCACTCCATCACTATAGACGCACACTTGCAATGCACTACATCTTTTGTCAACAGCATCAGCAAGAGCGTGTATCAATGCCTCCCTGCTGCTTAGCATGCACACGTTGTGCTGATAAACAACGTTAATATCTCAGTAAAACCGTGCAAGTTCCTAGGGTAGCCACAGCTCAACCTGAATTTCCTTCTCTAAAGGAAAGATGAAAGAAGATGATGGAACGACGAATAGCACTTAATTTTAAGAGGAGAAGAAATCTTCAGGTGTTTTGATGTTTTGAATATGCTATCCTCACTTTATAAACAGTTCTTTAATTTCTAACTAGTTTCCTCACTATGTATCATTGAAATCAATCTGTCCCATCTCCAAATGATACAGCACTATCAAGCTGGAGCCTGAACAAATGTCTTGTTGGGAATAGGATGGGCAGGAATTATAGAGGAACTTGCTGGATTTTTTCCCCTACTGTAGGTGTTACAGGAAACCATACCAGTCATTCAAGATGCAACAATCGTGAGTCATTGCTTAGGCACAGCATATGGAAAAGCAAGAAATACTTCAGCAGTGAGTATGTTATCTTCTGCAGTAAATAAACAGAAGTCTTAACTACTTTGCCAGCAAACATACAAAGGTATTATTTATGGCTGCTTAGATACTGCCTAGCACAATAACAACATTCTAAACTGAATAGGCAAATGAGCTTGCATTTGCTAGCCAGGTTACATTTTTAGTTAAACAGGATGTAAACTCACCCTATATTTCACTCAGTAAAAGGGTGGCTATAATGTTACTATATACAGCTGAACAGCCAAGATGCGTCCCCCTGGAAAGAGGGGGAAAAAATATATCTGAACTTCAATATCAATGGGATAGACTAACAAGGCAGAAAAGGACCTTGAGTTCTGGGTGGATCACAGACTAAACAGGAATCAAAATCGAAAGAGAAAAACCAAATATTATGGTTGATGCCATATGCAGATAGTCCTGCCCTACTCAAGCTAGATATTGGCTTACCACAAGCATCCTAAATGATTCAGGGTTTTGCACATAGGATGACTGACCATATGTAAAGCAGTCAAGAAGTGAACTGCAAACCAAAATCTGAGATATGCATCCAGAAGAATTGCTTCTCCTCTCTTTGCTATGCTAAATACAAGGACAGTATTCAAGTCCACAACCCATATTCAAGTATATGAAAAGATGCTGGAAAGTAGAACTGAATAAATTGTCCTTAATGTCCATAATGCATAGAATTAGTAGTAAGAATTTATGTTTGTATCATGATCGATATAGGCTTGATGCTAAGGAAAGCTCAACTGTAACGATGCTAAGGAAAGCTCAACTGTAACGATGCTAAGGAAAGCTCAACTGTAATGACAGCTAACACTGGAACAAACTGATTAGATTTACCTTCACTTCATCCTTTCAATATTTACAACAAAATTTTAAATAAAGAGTTTAGGCATAGCTGTCTTGAACACAAATAGACTAAGTAAGCTACTCAATTCTCACCCAACCTCATCTTTCATGCAACTCTTTTTCTGCATATTATCCCACGAATTCACCTATCAGTGCAACTAAAGGGAGCTATTAAATTTTAAAACAAAACTACTGCAGAGCTCAACAAGAAATTGGTATTGTAGTGGTTTCATTAGATGTTCTGAAGTTTTTCTTCTATTTGTTTAAAAACTTGTTAGTCGCATACAGTCTGAAAATGCACATTTGTAATTCAAATATATTATTAATAAATTAAGATCAAAATGCTGACAGAGCCCTTGGAAAGTGTTCAAAGTCATCAACAGTATCTAGCAGTCTGCAGGCTTCACCTGTTGTAAAACTACAGGAGAGGAATTTGTCAGCAGTGGATGGAGTGGGCTTTTTATCCTAGAGCTGAAACACAAAGCAGCCCACTAAATTTTAAGAGACTTAGGGTAAGTATTCAACTGTACTGAATTAAAGTATGAGTGTTATTAGAAGAAGAATCTTTGACCAGAATTGGTTATCTGTATTTAACTACAACAGCATCATACCATGTTATGTGGAAAATGCCCCTTCAGGACAGCTAATCATCTTTTAATAAAACAAAACAGCCCACAAACCTTACTACACCAACAGGGCAAGGCCTGTAAACATTAACTAATGACCCTGAGACAAGCCAAGGCTTGAAACAAACAGTGCAATAAGGCACAATACATAAGAAGTCATATACAGGACTCTGATCACCATTGCTTGAAAACGTATAGATTTTAGCTTTGTAACTACTAACTCCCCCGCAGAGAAAAATGCCTTATTTGAGGTTGACAAATTTAAGCAGGTTCCTGCCTCTGGTTCCTTCTGTTGTCCTGAGCCTAGTACATTGACTGGAAAACAGCAGTTCTGAAAAAGCACCATTTCTCACAATTTGGAGAACAACTGCAATATGTGAATGTTAACAGGCGTTTGTAAAACATTTTCTTCATCACTGTCTCAAAGAATTTCTGCATATCTCTTTTTGTTTTGTATTGTTTAAGAAGAGTCACAGATTAGACCAATATTAGCAGACCCCAGCAAACTCTAGCGTTTCTCCCTTTGGATAGCCACCTCTCCTTCTCCTTCCTTCAAAACTATCTCCCATTGCTACTCTTGTTATCTTGGATAACTCCAAAGCTATTCCCAAATGTCTTAAGACAACAACTTCTTGCATTTGCTGCATTTCCCTCACCAAAATCAGCCAGGTGTTTCAGTTAACAATAGCTCTGCTATTGAGTAGTGAGATGTACCAGGTGTAAGACTCACATGACCTAATGGAAGCAAGGTATTATTTTTCCTGTTTCCAAAGCAGAGGGGGGGGGGGGGGGGGAACCCTCTACTGTCATGGAAGCTGAATAATCGTGCTTTAAGTTGCTTCTCAGTCTTGAGAAATGTTAGAAATAAGAATTTAAAATCCTGCACCTTGAAATTTTGCTGGAAAAAACTTCCAGATATCCTTTGGGGAAGGTGAGAACCATCATGAATCAACAGGCAGCACAGACCTGTAGGCTGTCCTATGCTCCACATAGGACAGTGAGTCTTGAAACATCAAGGAACACCTAGGTAGTGGGTCTGGAATTTGAACCAAGTGAAAAAAACAGGTGAGCAATTAAATTTCACTCACACCAAGTCTCTTTATACTGGAGAATATTATTCCGATTCACATCATTGAGAACAGGCAAGAGGGGTTGCTCAAGACCTCTACTGAGAAGTTCAGCAAGAAGCCTGGTAACACTAATAACCAGAAAAGTGCTGAAGATTGAAAAGGGTATCATCACACAAACAGGAATTAATAAGTCTTCCATACTATGCATTTATTGCACATTATAATAGAGGTCTGCTAGGATCAAGTCCCCTGCCTACACATACTGAGTATAACCCTCCACTTCAGCTGTTTAGACACCAAAGAAGCAGCAGGCGTGCATATGCTTGCCTCTACTGTTTAGAGTTGTTTCTTGTTTCTCAATCTCCTATCATCTTCCAAGTTTCTCAGTTTCCTTCTAGCTCTGTAAAAAGAGAGAAGCTGGGTCCCACCCACTGTTCTTGTTCTAGACTCATAAAGGAGTCCAACCATTAAAACTCTTTTCCTAGTACTGACTCTTCCCACCCTACCCCACCTTCTATCTGACTCCTTGATTTTACCCCATGAAACAGCCCTGATTTTGTCTCAAACTCTTCTCTTCTAAATCTGTGCAGCCTCTTCTTCTCAGAAAGCCTCTTCAACTTTGAACTACTTTGAAACACGAGATCACATTCAGCAAAACTGGAAAATCTTTTTTCCTCTCTCCCCTAATCTTCAGGATAATTTAAGAACAAATAAAATTGATGGGTTTACCAACCTTTATGCCCCAACATCACAGCAAGATGTAAAGGAGTGTTTCCTAAAATAAATAAATAAAAAAGGAAGATATTAGATTCAATGTAACAGAATTCATTGCAATTCCTTCAGGAATCTGCGCACACAGCTCAAGTCCCATGTGTTAAGAAAAGTCAGATACTGTGACCTAACAAAGGCACACACTAAAAAGGAGTTACATTTCTTAAAGAAGTCCTACGTAAAGCCTTCAGACTGTACTTTTTAGAACAGATACATCTGAAGTACATTTCACGGACAAAGCTTTTATATTCGTATCTTGAAACTTACTCCAGCTAAAGAAAGAGGTCCAATTATATTTTCAAGAAAGTGATAACACAAACCTCTGCTTTATATTTTATAATGAATGACAGATCTAGGGTAACAGCTACTCAAAGATATGATTCTGATTAAAATTTTAAGAGCATATTTTATTAATTTTTCAAAGATTTAGGACAAAATTTTTACCAGTGCCACAACGGACAGGTTATGAAATAACAGTCCAACCTTCACTACAAAAAAATCTTTCAGTTATTCTAACGCTATGTTTCCAAAGAAAGCATCCAAGATTATCAGCAGAAATTATAAACATGTTCCTGTTTTCCTGGCTATGCGCATGACATATTTTCTAGTTCTGTTCTTAAGTACGAACCATCAGTTGGAGTTGTTTTCCTGGATTAACGCTGCTACTAGAATTCTGAGTTGTGACACATTTTAATGTAGCTTATGGATCCAAAACTCTTCCATTTATATGTTTAAACATTTTCTCAGTGAACTTAACAGAAAAACTGCTGGTAACCAGGTTTCTTTTGCAATTATAACAAATACACTGGATTTTAGGGGTATTTTACAGTATCACTTTAGCAATTAGCATTGCTACTTGCAAAGGATGGTGTCATTTTGCTACACTAAAAGATACAGTCCTAAACATTCCTCGATTCTGTTATACAGAGTCATCACTGACATAGTATAGTCTCATGAAATCTCTGATCAAGATAGGCCAGCAAAGGCAGAGCTCGTAAGTGCTTTTTAATTAGTTATTCAAAGTATAGCACTAATTATTCTTCTTGTAGGTCACTAGCAACATCTCAGTTACATCCTCATTCATTATGCACGCTCTAAGCTAACCTCAAATTTTCTGTTAATAGATTTCATAACATCTCCAAGCCAAAACATAATTTAGAATATTGGATGCAACCATTCTTCTTTGTTAAGTCACTTCAATAATGATGTTATTGAGGAGCAAACTTGAGAACGAGCCAAACCATATACTCAGCGAACTGAAAGTATGCAAGACGGGTAAACGTTTTGCTCATCTAATCAGGCACTTTAACAGGAAAAAACAAACAAAAATCACTAGATGCTACGCTTTCTCTTAAACAAATAAGGCTTAAAATAAATAAATAAAAAGAACACCTTTCAAACACTGAATAAAGCAGAGGTGTCTTTCCAGTCTGGAAGCAGACTGCTGTAGTATCTATGACAGCTTGGCATTGTGGCAAGAAACAACAAAATGAAAGCCAGACTGGCCGAGGGAGCTGGCTAATGTCACTGCACTCCAGTGGTGGAGAAGGAGGAGGTATTTCCCCCCCTAATCCGGAACAAGAGGGAACATCCTTCTTGCTGGCTTTTTAAGCCAGTAAGCACATAGTAAGTAGGAATCTAAGGATTAACACACATGAGTGCGATAAAATAGACATTAGCTGATGTACCAAAGGGAGAGCAGTCACTAACAGGTAAGTTAGGAAAGAGGCTTTAGGGAAGGGAGGGAATAAAGAGAGATAAGGCAAGCATAGCAAAGAGACATTAGGCAACTTGGAAAGAAACACTGTGTAACATTCTCACCTACATGACTAGCAAAGCCTATTTCTCACTTGCCGTCAACTGCTACCCAGAGCAGCCACACTCGGGAAGCATGGACACAACAGTAAACGGTTGCTTTAGAGAGAAGACTGGAACGTGGTGGCACAGATGGATCATTCTTAAAAAACATATACCGTAAACCAAACCTTGTAAGAACCACGCTAATCTCGTGTGCAATGTTATCAAAATTCCACTGCTACCTTTCAAAAAGTACTTCCATGGGAAGCTAGGTGCCCAAGTATATTCGTTGATCTTGGCCTGTCAACCAAACAAATCTCTCCCTCCGGCACCCCCTTCCCAAAGGATAACAGCCTCAACAAGAACTGAGAGATATAACTAGCTTTGGCACATCCAAAAATCAAAAACAGAACTGGATTTTGCCCAGTTCCATCACTAATCACCTCTCCTTGAAATCTGATAAACCCACAGTGGTCTTGATGCTCTTCAGTCCAAACAGAGTGAGTTTTATCAGCAGCAAATTTAAGTCTGATTTATTAAACTGCCCAATCTGTATATGATTATATGTCACAAAATGAAGCAATTGGGGTGCAGTGGTGGTCCATGAGAGTCTCAGCTTGTAGAACGCTTCCACACAGTCTTCAACTTTTTCCCCTCCAACAGCGAAAAGGGAAGGAGCTGTTCAAGCATAAAGATCTTCCTTTACCTCATCATAGTCTTGAGCAGAGATAAGCTTTCATTCTGAGGGTTGGCAAGGGCCTGGGAGAAAACGAGACCTGTGCTGTCAAAGTTTCCCAGCTAGCAAAAACTGCCAGCCTTCATCACTCAGTAGCAGCAGCAGTACTTATCAGGGTCTGAAATGGGCAGCAGCCAAAGACTTTCAATATTTTTCATCTCAGAAGTCTAGCTATCTGGCAAGCACAATGGGATTAGCTTGCTTCTACTTCTTTGGGAGAGCTGGGGATCCCAAACATGTTGGTAGAAGTCCCAGACTCACAATTTAATTACTACCAGGATCCACTGTATTCAAAGGGAATTGTCTCACTGCAATTTGATCATCCTACAACCTCAAGCTTTATCGATCTTAAAATAGTAACCATGGCAAGAACAGCTGGGGCTTCTCCAGAACATTTACTATCTACAACATATAGAATAATTCTAGAATTTCACTGTGAAACTGCTCAGGGCTAAAATTAATCTGAGGGGAGAAAAGTAGTGAACTGTAACCCTAATCAATCTTTCCTACTCAGTTCACAGGTCAACTAAGCATTTCTGCCAGAAAAGGCAAGAGGGTGGCAAAGGACTGTTTCACTTCTTTCAGTTGCATGGACAGTTGTAACAACTTGAGGTATTCAATGAACTAAAGCAAAGGCCACAACAGTAAGCCTCAGGTGCCATGAAAATAAGTACCTTTACACAAGACAATTGCTGGTAAGAGACAGAGGGGTGCAAACATGCAACTATGTGGTTTACCTACATAAGAGCAGTAATTATTTACAGTGCCCTTTATAATAAGTGGCTGACATGTAGTTTTGATTACTTCAACACAACAATCATCTTCATGATAATATGTTTGATACGATCACTTTTAGACACTGAGCTGGAATATGAATGCACATACACTTGAACAGTTGCAATCAAGTTCATTCTTATCGAGATTTCCCTTTTGACAGTAACCCTGCTTGATTCACCATACAAACCAATTTCATGCATCTCTTATCTGAGGACAATTTCTTTTCATAATCAATAGCTTTGGAAAATAAGCATTTATAATTCCCCTGCCCAAGTTTAAGTGGCATAAACTGCAGGGTCTTATTCCAAGACAGTACTGATACAACAGTGCCTAAAATCATGCAAGGGTACATCCAGGATAGGTAAACAAAAATCATTTGTACAAAGTAGAGCACCTGCCTAATAAAAGGTCAAAGGTTATACATGTAGGCATGTGTAGATTTTTGGCATACCTATGAGGAGGCTGAGTCTGTTTCCTGAGAGCAACTCAGTAAAAAGATCTGCCTGTTCTGGAACATGACAGCATATTTTTTAATTTTAATATATATTTATACTTTTATTTTTGCTGTAATATACATATAAAAGATACATAATACTTACACATGTAAATTTCTCACAGGAAACTCATCTCTTGCGGACTAATGATACTGGCCTTACTCTGTAAACGGATCTCAAAAGGTATTACTTATCAGTAAGTTAGGCAGGCTGCACTCACATTTACAAACACGGCCACTGTTTGTTTCATCAGAACACCGTGGGTTTAACGTTCTGGAGGAACTGACTTTTTAGGACTTAAACACACACTTAAAATGAGACTGAATTACAACCAACAGTTGTTACTAGGAGTTCCTTCCCTTCAGTCACTTGCTTATCATGCAGTAGGAGCCTTCTGTCTTATTTTCAAATATAATTGTAAACTGAAGTTATCTACCCCAAATAACTCATAACTCAAACATGTAAATGAGTGACAGATGGATTCAGGAAGAAAGATGACAGAGAGTAATAATAAGGCAATAGCGGTCAGGCCTTTGATACATCACGACGTCCAGGATTTTTTGAAAAATTAAGGGCAAAGCAACATTTCAAATAAAAATTTGGAGGATGATAATGAGACAGAAGTCCCCAAAGTTTTCCTTCTCTAAACAGCAGTGAGAAAGCAGAAGGGCATTCATTTGAAAAACTAATGTGTGTGTGTATGTGTGTGCATATATATATATATATATAAAAATAAAAATAGAAATCATAGTATCAGTATTTGTGATAAGTTAAAGATGCTAGTAGAGCAAAAATGGATCAGGAAGTGCCATTAAAGTACATCTATTAAGCTTACGATGATGAGTTACTTGATGACAAGCTGGAAAGGGTGGAGAGGAGAAATCAGCAGAAGATAGGAAAAAAAAACCAACAACAACTCTCTGAGCCTGTTGCTTTCATTCTACCGATCTTTGCAGCAACATCCTATGACATGATATATATATCTACAGCGATACTGAGAATACATTACTTGGAAAAATGTTGTAACAGTTGTAAGAAATACTACTGCCCGTCTTAAATGAGAAAACAGAACTTCTTCTAACATTACATGAGTTTGTGTTTCAAAGTGCCTGCGATTATCAGGGACATGGTTTATAATTCCAAGCTAGTTGTTGTACTGATCCGGTTTATAATTCCAAGTTAGTTATTGTACTGATCCCAAGAATCACTCTATCTTAATGTTCCTTTTTGTTTTACATAACTAAAACAAAGTGAACAGTGATCTCTTAATCAGAAAGAGGAACGTCACCCTTTAATCACAGCTTGTCCAGTTACCACATACCATATAACTTACATTCTCCAACAGGAACTGACTGCGTTACTCTTGAAATAGGCAGGAAACTTAAGAGATAAAAACTAACCACGAATGAAATGTTTAAGGTAACTTGACAAGCTAATTTATTTTTAGACACGTAGAATATTCCCTGAATGAAACGCATTATTTTTATAAGGCCCTAGCAAGTTGTAAGTATTTATACATTATGAAGTAAGATCAGGATCGGATTTCTACCGCTGCTGCTGTTGCTTCTACGTCTGCAGCAACCTCACAGATGGACAGATCACAAGATACTGTCTCTTTGAAACATCTAAGAAAGAATTTTTTTTTTTTAGCCTGAGGAAAAATTAAAGATAACCCCACCAGCAGCCAAAGGAACCCATTCTGAGTGCCCCCTAAAGCCTGTCATCTCCAAAAGTGAACACGCGACAGTTCAAAAAGCAAACAAACAGGCAAACAAAAGCACACTCTGAAATGACATGAAGTAACGTTTGGTATGCCGGAAAGACTTCCTCTTTACCGCGACTATAAAAGTGACTAACGTGCACATTCATATGAAGAAAATTCCAAGAAATTTTGTCATGGTGTTTTGCCGGGAGATGCCACTATAATTTTCACCACCACTGACTACCCAAACCTTAGGAAAGATAAGCACAAGAGTTACAGCAAGGGATAAGAATTCATGCCGAGAGAACGAAAAAGCACAAAAACCTGAGAAAACTCTCCAAGATGCGACAGAGGTAGCAGAAAATAATCAACTCATACGAGCTCAAAAGCAAAAGAGTGATAACTGGAAGCTCAACCGAGCGAGGAGCGATAACGGGAGAGTCTTTTGGACAGTTCCCATCCCCAAAACACCTGCTTGACCCAAGCACGCGCACGCACTTCAGCGTCTTTCTGGGTCTTTTTCTTTTTTTTGGGGGG